ATACTGTGATCATGCAAGCGGTTCCCCAGGGTGAGACTCCATTGCACTGCGGATTGGTTGACCCTTGCGATTATTTTTATTTATATAAGTTTCACTTCTATTGTGTGTGATTTGCACAAACACACACTTTTTTAATACGAAAATGTGTACGTTATTATTACAGATAGAATGACACCGCGGACTACGAAAATCGCGTGATTTCAACGAACTTTTGTGATTTAGGGCCGAACTTCTCGCGGTTTGACGGCTATAAAATTAGAGAAGTCTGTTCTTTTATAACAATTTTTTATTAATAGTTTCGGTGAGTGCGTCTTTTGTTTTCGTGTTTTGATCATTACAAAAACACCGAAACTGGCTACGTTCGGCAACTTCGATTTTCCAAGATAATTTGCTCCCCTTCATTTCCTTTCAGGACGAATTTCCCTCCGCATTGCTTCCTCAATTCTATGGTACGTCTTCCTTAAAATGGTTTTCAAAGATCCCTCAGTAATAACTAGTGGAATGACTGCACTCTGGCCTTAGTATGAATAGGGTTATAAACAAAGTGTTCACAAGTCACATTTATCCCCAAAAAATTTTTCGTAGGTACCACTACACTGTCTATTTCAGCCGTGAAGCAGTAATGCGTTTCGGTTTAAAGGGTGGGGCAGCCGTTGTAACTATACTGAGATCTTAGAACTCATATCTCAAGGTGGGTGACGCAATTAACGTTATAGATGTCTGTGGGCTCCGGTAACCACTTAACATCAGGTGGCTGTGAGCTCGTCTACCCACTAATGAAAAAAAACCACTATCCCTAGCAACAGCTTCGCAGGATCACCGGATCAGAATCGCGACTCACTGAGAAAGATCCGGCGAGTAACATAGTGGGCTAGTTCTGTTCAACTGCATTTGAGACTAAAGGCTAAAGGATAATATCACAGCGGGATAAATTGTGCAGCTTAAAAACTTAAAAAAAAAATTGCATTATTAAATAGCATACCGAACTGACTTTTATTGTCATGACCTTTATCCTGCTGTTACTGGTAAGAAAATTTTGAGCACAAAATATAAAATTGTTATATTGTCATCGGTCCCTTGATCCGTGTGGTAATTTTCAAGTTAATCGGATGTCATAAAGTAAAAATGACGTTTAAAGATTCCGTTACATAAATAGTAGCTGGCATGCCAAACTAATAAGCTAAAGAGAACTAATAAAGTTGTACACTTAAAATATTAAAACACAACAGCTTCAAATGTGATCTATATATTAATACGTGAAGCAAAAATTTTGTAACCCCTTTAAACAAATTGCGCGGACGGAGGAGTATGAAATTTTCCACACTTATAGAGAATATAGAGAAGAAGTGCACAATGCTAATATTTTTTAAAAATAATGCATAAAAGATACATTAAATCAATAAAGAAAACATTACACACACTACATACCATGTATTTGACGCACACACGCATGCATACTATTTATTCTTAAACTTTTGTTCTTGACGTCTGTGGTCAAATTGAGAATAGATTAAATATTGTTTGTCTTTGTTAATATTTTTTTATAGTGTAGTCTTGGCGAAATTTGTGATTATAGAAGTATAAAATACAATAATAATAGTGTACAAATTTACAATTCCAATTAATTATAGTCGAATTTCGACTACTGCGGGACCTCTAGTTTAATTAAATTCAACTTGAAAAATCGTAATAAAGATTAATGATATTTCATTCATCCCGAAACCTACGTGCTGAAAACACACAAATATTTGTTTTAAATTGTAAATACGAAAGGCAATTTTGAACGGACATTTTAAAAATATTTACTTACAGCGTCATCATTGTGCCGTGTTGATTTTTTGGTAAAAATAAATAATCTAAATTGGATTTGAAGGAATGTTTACAGACATCGTAACATCGTGTTATAAAAATCAAACCCGCAAAATTATAATTTGCGTAATTACTGATGGTAGGACCTCTTGTGAGTCCAGGCGGGTGGGTACCACCGCCCTGCCTATTTCTGCCGTGAAGCAGTAATGCGTTTCGGTTTGAAGGGTGGGGTAGCCGTTGTAACTAAAACATAGGACCTTAGAACTTATATCTCAAGGTGGGTGGCGCATTTACGTTGTAGATGTCTTTGGGCTCCAGTAACCACTTAACGCCAGGTGGGCTGTGAGCTCGTCCACTCATATAAGCAATAAAAAATAAAAAATAAAATGAAATGTACAGAACATTAACTCACTATAATATTAATATTGGAAAAAAATTAGTGTTTTCAAAACAAAAAAAATATGTTTGTTTTTTTAGTTCTTTTTTATGCTTCTAATATCGAGAAATGGAAATAAAATTTCATTACCAAGTTTGTAAGTCGAGCGCCCACGCGTCACCAGAATACATTGAACCCGCGCCTAATCTAACTATTAAAAAAAAACTGTAGATGATACGTACAAAAGTCATCCGTCAAATTAAGCTATGCGGCCTATTTAATGATGGATAATAATAACAATTTTATTATCTCTGGAATCGCCAGCAACTTATCTTTGTTTTCAGGAAAAACTCCTTTAAGGAGGGTACCAACAAAATATTATGTTCAGAAAAAAAAAGGTAAAGTTATTCCGCTTAAATCAAATGTTTAGTGGTTGGCAAAAAAAAAGAACAAAAACGCACACAAACCTTACCCTTGTATTTATCCAATTAAAAATCCAAAAAATGTCCAATCTATACTAATATATAAATCTATAGTGGTTTTTACGGATGTTCCGTTATAACTACTGAATCATGCATCCGATTGACTTGAAACTTGATATCCATGTAGAAAATACATGTACTTCATAGATAGGCTAATATTTATATGAGTGTTGGACTACACCAGTTGCGGGGGCGTTAATGATGAGAATCTTTGTGGGGGTGAGAAATAATAATGTTAATTTGAAATGCCCAGCGAGGTGGACGGGTACAGCTAGTAAGCTATAAGAACTAGAGTTGAGAGTGTTGAGAGTTGACATACTTCTACTTTTTCCAAAGTTTGGAAAGATTCTTCACAGGAAAAAAACTCAATACCCGAGAGCCCGTACAAAAATGTATTTGAAGAGTTTGTTGGTTCCCGTACACCTACCTGCCATCTTTAAGACGGAAATTGAAAAATCACCGCTGCGCTGGCAGAAATGCATCAACACCATGGATGCATATTTTGTTTGATAAAAATGAAAAATCTTATCTTATCTTATACCTTTAAACGAGCAATTCTTGAATATATATACTAGCGGACCCGGCGAGCTTTGTTCCGCCACACGGTTAATTTGTTGCAAACACATCAACCGGTCAACTTCAAAATTTAACCATAGAACGTTTAGCTGTCAGTTGCGTTTTGTTATTCAATATCAGTTGCGTTTTGTTATACCACGTTTTATGTCACGTCCCACGGGAATGTGATAAAAAGTATCCTATGTCCTTCTCCTGGCTCTAAGCTACCTTCTCACCAATTTTCAGCCAAATCAGTTCAGCCGTTCTTGAGTTATAAATGGTGTAACTAACACGACTTTCTTTTATATATATATAGATATATATAATCTGAATCACGGAAACGGCTCCAACGATTTTCATAAAATTTAGTATACAGGGGATTTTGGGGGCGATAAATCGATCTAGCTACGATTTATTTTCGGAAAATGTGTTTTATTCGTGTTTTCAATAATCAACTTTATCGATAATCAACTTTATGACTCTTCCCGACATCTATTGGCGAATAATAATACTATTTTTAATGCTTCAAAGAAAATACAAGATGGCGTTATAAAAAAAAAAAAAACTTTTTGTATACTACACGGCTATTGCGGAAAATAATAACAAAATAATGATAAGGTTAATAATTTCACGTCTACGGTAACGAAAAAATTAAAATGGAAAAACAGTTTTTTCCGCTGTTATTGAGACATCAGTGACTGAAGTCGTATTTTATTCCTTTAATAACTTATGGTTTGATTTACATAACATTTAACTAGCTTTAACACGGCGATTTACTCGAGTTAATATAGAAAATTAATGACTCGAATAGTACACTTTTCGGATGGAAGGTACGCTACGTCTGTTTCTGTACCTCTGACTACGTGCGTTGTTTAAGCTATTGCATAGCTTTTATTTCGGGCCTTGAGCGCGGCGACCGAATCATGAAATTCCGTAACCAAAAAAACCTAACACCCCTCACTCCGCCTACCATGTAGCTCGCGTTCAACACATTCACACGTTGCGCTTGTGTAGTTGTGAATAAGCGCGTGGCGTGACGTCACACTGCATGCGCATCATGAAAAGTCTGCCCATCTCTCTCTCGCACGGTCTAGCTTATGAGTGTGAAGGGGACAGTTAAGGTTTTGCTTTTACTAATGTTTAATATAGCGTGGTCTTGTTTTATTATTGTTTTAATATTAAATTATCTTTGTCTAATTATAATTGCATAAGTTGATAAAAAATGCTATGCAATAGCTTTACCGCGGCAGTTTCCGAGTGCCACACGTTTTTTTTATGAAGATCGATTGAATTACTAATCCGTGAAACAGTAACGTATTTATAATATTTTCTTATTGGTTTTTAGTGCTTAGCTGTGTAGACGAGCTCACAGCCCACTGGTGTCAAATGGTTACTGGGGCCCATATACGTCTACAACGTAAAACCTTGAGATATGACTTCTAAGGTCTCAGTATAGTTACAACGGCTGCTCCACCCTTCAAACCGAAACGCATTACTGCTTCACGGCAGAAATAGGCAGGGTTGTGGTACCTACTCACAAGACGACCTACTACAACCCGTGTTCACTCAATTCTGAGTGTAGGTCTCTTCGAAAGCACCCCATTCTCTTCGCTCTCTTGCCTTTCGCATTCAGTCCCTACCAGCCACTTTGACTAGGTCATCGGTCTACCTCTTTGGCTGTCTGTCCACGTTAGAAAGTCCAGTACTAGGTCTCATAATAATATTATAATTTATAATTGTATTACTTAGAATTTACTAAACATGTTTCTTTGTTACAGATTCAATGATGCAAACACCAATACTGCATTAGGTAATTAAAAATAACACTATTTGTTTTTTTTTTTTTTTTTTTTTTTATTGCTTAGATGAGTGGACGAGCTCACAGCCCACCTGGTGTTAAGTGGTTACTGGAGCCCATAGACATCTACAACGTAAATGCGCCACCCACCTTGAGATATAAGTTCTAAGGTCTCAATTATAGTTACAATCCTACAAGTTGTAGGATTAGTAGGACAGAAGCTTGATATAGTTGTTTTTTTTTTGTTGTTTAATTATTCGAGTTGCTTAAGCGCATATCCAATGCTAAGGAATCACCAGAGCTTATAGACATCACCACAGTCTTTGAGACATTGGATGAAGTTATCTGGCCAATTAACGAAAAAAGCTATGGATAGTCTCATACAACTTTAGACACTAAGCAGTAACCATTGTTCAGCAGTACTATATTTAAGTCTTATTAGGGTGTATTGTAAGCGATCCCGCGTCCCGAGGGGGAAGGTGATGGGAGAGATGTGCTCCGCACTAAGCGCTTCACTTTCCCCCTTTTGCCTTTTCATGAGTTCTGTCTCATGCGAGGCTTGGACGTTGGTTGTTGAGCTAAAGAAGGTTTTAGTCGGTTCGACTCCAACACACTCCGCCCGCCAATTCCAGTGGAGGGCGGAAGTCCGGCGATTTCCTCGGGAACAAAAAAAATAAGAAAATAAAATGGTAGTGGCATCTAGACAATTCGCTCTCACAGCATTAATATCCACGTCACAATAAAGCTGTAATAAACAGTCCAATGATATTCCAATTCCGATAACATTCCTGTCCGGAATGTAATACGCCGTTCGAAGCGACAAAATCTGTCCGTATGAAAACGTAATGGCACGATGCAGGTGGCGCAACCATCAACTTAATTCAGTGCCATGCCGCACTGCAGGCATTTGCTAATTGCTTCATAAATTCAACGGGAATGCGCTGAAATTCGGGATAAACGTAACATTGATGAGTTAATGTACGCGCTATGTTCTTTTTCGCCAAAGCGTAGTTTATCGTGAGGACTTTAATTTGACAGTTAAAATTGCCTAGGCAGCAACTGGTGGTTTAATTTTGTTTCTTAGTAAGCGAGATGAAGTGATAGCGATGGTTTGGATATAGGAATTTTTATTAGCGATACCGTACCGGCACGTAACATCGTGCCTATTCACGTCGCGAATCGTAGATGCGGCCCGGCCCAGTTTACGGGGTCGTTAAACGATTTAGATTTAGCCTTCGAAGCGTTTGCCCATCACGTTGTAATATCATAAGCTTTGCGTACGAGAAGATCGTACCATCCCAGATCCTCATAAACGACATGAATCAATGACATGACATGTCCTTCTTCAAAGGCCTGTGAAGAGTACTTAACGGTAGGCAGCAGCTTGGCTCTGCCCCTGGCATTGCTGAAGTCCATGAGCGACGGTAACCACTCACCATCAGGTGAGCCATACGCTCGTCTGCGTACTAGGGCAATAAAAAATATATATATTGAATGAGCCGTTTAAGCCTTCTGACTGCCTCAAGTCTGAACATCAAGATGTATAACCCCACTTAGTACGGTATAAGATGGCCTATGTACTTTTTAGATCAACATTTTTGCAATCCAAATATCTATCTGAACATTTTAAATTTGATGCATTGATTTTGCTAGATTCGAAATTAAATTGCAATAAAATATACAAATTCCCAACGGAAGAAGTGAGCAAATCTGTTTTTACTAGTACTTTTACTGCAGAAATGGCAGAAAAACTACCGACAGTATATTAAAAAAAGATGTGAGGTGTCGTGGGACACCGGATAGGAACGAAGTGCCTTATTATAAAAATGTTAATTTTAAGTTCTATTCGAGGTATAAAGAAAATAATTAATCGGGTATACAATTTTTAATAATGTCTTTTTATTGACAAAAAAAGAACGACTTTACAAAGTTATCAACTTCATTTTATTCACAATGATTTATAAAAAATATATTATAATAATATTCAAAGAAACAGTTATTTAAATGAATAATAATAATAACCGTCATCACGTAGACTATACATTAGACACTGTATAAATAATAAAAATCTTACGTTACGGACGTTTTTTCCCGGTTAGGGTACCCCTCCGCATCGTCCCATAAGGAACTTTGTTCCAAGAACTCGCTGTAGTTCCACAGTCCAGTACAGTCGATGTCTGTACGCTTCAAAATCTTAAAGAAATCCATTCGTCTAAATGTTTAGAGATGAACGAAATACATTCATAAAATATTTACGAGTAACACAGTTGACACGGGTCCAATTTGGCCCATACACTCTTTTACAGTAGAACGTAAACCATTTACAGTTTACTACCGCCTATCGGGTTTTATCACCGTGCGAACAGCCCCGTAATGTACCGCCGCTTACACCGTATTGTAACATTGTTCGTGAATTGTAAACCTTAAACCGATATTCGTATGGCTTAGTTACGTTTGGCTCAGTCACGTAGGGAATGTTTTGAGCGGTAGCAAACTCAAGAGATGATCGTAAACATCTTTATTTCAGCTTTTAAAAACTTTAGTTTAGTTTTTATTTATTGCTTAGATGGGTGGACGAGCTCACGGTTCAACTGATTTTAAGTGGTTACCGAAGTCCATAGACATCAGCAATATGGGATAAGACGTCCGGTGCATTCGTGTTGAGCGATGCATCGGTGTTCGAATCTCGCAGGTGGGTACCAATTTTACTAATGAAATACGTACTTAACAAATGTTCACGATTGACTTCCACGGTGAGAGAATAACATCGTATAATCAAAATGAAACCCGCAAAATTATAATTTGCGTAATTACTGATGATAGGACCTCTTGTAAGTCCGCACGGGTAGGTAAACACGAAATGCATTGTTGCTTCGCCGTAAAAATAGGCAGGGTAGTAGTACCAACCGAGGCGGCTCACAAGATGTCCTTCCCCAGTAAAACCATATTGTATCACATAACCATATAGACCAATCCAGCCTAAAGCAAATTTGAAATAAATAAATAAATAAAAACTTACATAAAGAAAGTGTAATTAATCTAATCATATATTTTTTTAATTGGTGTAATTACCTGAGAGATTTTATTTTGTGGCTTTCATAGATGGACGAACAAAGGGCTTACTTAGTGATCATTGATGTATGTAATGGCATTGCTTCATTGTGAAAGCTATACAAAAATGATCGTGAATGAGTTTCCCGTGTGGTCTGAGCTCTGGTACATATGTTAAAAATAGATGTACTATTTAGGTATTTATTTACTTATTTTATTACTAATAGGGTACTAAATGAGTAACAACAGGTCCTAAAAGTTTCTCGAACAAGATGTTGCGTTGTGGTGAATGAAAGAGAGTGGACTGTATTTATTTGATTTAGTATCTTTATTAGTCCATAAGTGACAAATTAGACATATACTAGAGGTCGCGCAGTAGTCGAAATTCGACTATAATTAATTGGAATTGTAAGTTTGTACACTATTATGATTGTATTTTATACTTCTATAATCACAAATTTCGCCAAGGCTACACTATAAAAAATATTAACAAAGACAAACAATATATAATCTATTCTTAATTTGACAGCAGACTTCAAGAACAAAAGTTTGACAATAAATACTATGCATGCGTGTGTGCGTCAAATACATGGTATGTAGTGTGTGTAATGTTTTCTTTATTGATTTAATGTATCTTTTATGCATTTTTTTAAAAAAATATTAGCATTGTGCACTTCTTCTGTATATTCTCTATAAGTGTTTAAAATTTCATACTCCTCCATCCGCGCAATTTTCGTAAAAAGGGATACAAAGTTTTTGTTTCACGTATTAATTAATATAATATAGATGAAATATGAAATCGATGTGTCGCCCTTGGCGATTGGAATGGAAAAAAGATAAAGCGTCATAGCGGACGTCGCTCGTTGACACTTTTGACGTTCCGAATTCAAACAAAGAACATGTCTTACGTTAAATTAAGCCAAAAACATTTCATGCTAGCCCATAGCTGTTTTTCTCGTGTAGCCAACGTTTCCACCCATGAATGACTTTTCCTTCTCATAGGATCATCTGAGTATCGGTCTGTAGCACTCCGTACTATTGCTCGTGACTTATGAATATCTTCAATACGGGGAAAACGATAAAATTTCTCCAATCAATTCAAATTCGTTACCATATCATATCTATTTAGTGCTCTTATAAAATAATACGTCTCGACGTTGGCTCGTAACAAAGAGCTCTATTTTTAGTCAGTCTAATGTACTAAGGTACAAAGTCGCCTGCTGATACTTTTGATTTATTATTAATATCAACATTTATAGCAATAATATGATATGCTATAATGGCACAACCAACCTACGAAATAGTCTACGATACAGTCACTCGCAAAACTGATATATTTTTTATGTGGGACTGGATAATTAGTCCGTCAGCTCAAAGTCGCTCAGCGAGCCATGGAAAGAGCCATGCTCGGAGTTTCTCTGAAGGATAAAATCCGGAATGAGATTATTCGACAGAGAACTAAAGTCATCGACATAGCTCGAAGAGTCAGCAAGCTGAAGTGGCAGTGGGCTGGCCATATTTGCCGTAGGACTGACGATCGCTGGAGCAGACGGGCTCTCGAGTGGATACCGCGCAGCGGAAGACGTAACGTGGGACGCCCCCTGGCTAGATAGTGCGATGACCTCCGCACGGTGGCCGGCAAGAAGTGGATGAGGAGAGCCGCAGACCGGGCTCAGTGGTGTAGATTGGGAGAGGCCTATGTCCAGCAGTGGACGACTGTGGACTCTTGATGATGATGATGATGATGATGGATAATTCTGTGTGAATATCACAACCGCTATTAATTCATTAGATGTTTTTTTTTTGTCTTACGATGCTATGACTCGCTATAACATTGTTTTTAATTTATATTTTTATTGAAATTCACCTCGGACGGTGCAATAGATAGTCGATTTTATACTCCAACGATTTTATGGGCGGATAAAGAATTATGTGACGGCAGCACAGAGTGTGGACGTGTA